CGAGCTGTGAAGAGAGATACGGCTCCATCATGGCCGCATCTCGGCTATCTCTCGCGCCGTCTTCTGGAGAAACTTGGCTTCGAACAGCTCCGCCACCTTGCGGGGGGGAGGGGAAAGGCTGACGAGATGCAGCGGAGATGCAGCCGAGCTACAGCCGAGCTCAAGCAGAGGTTTCTGTGCGCCGCCTTGCAGGATGACGGGAAGTTGAAGCCGATCGGCAGCGCGAGGTTGCGGTCGTCGAACGGGGCGGAGGCGGGGTCGTACGGGTCTCTGTCGACGATGCCGAAGGCGGACACGTCGTCGGCAAAGCCAAGGTACGCACAGTAGCCTGTTCACAGCCGCAGCTGTGAAGAGCGCGGCGCTCGCAGCGCGGAGAGCGGAGGCAGAGCGGCGGTGGCCCGTCGCGAGGCGCCGGTTGAAGGTTGCCATCGGAAGGATCCACTCGCCTGTCCGCAGTGCGGCCGAGTTGTGGCCGAGTTGTGGCCGAGTTGTGGCCGAAGTGTGGCCGAGTTGTGGCCGAAGTGTGGCCGAGGTGTGGCCAAAGTGTGGCCGAGGTATGGCGAGGTATGGCCAAACTCGCCGTCGCTGCACTTGTAAGGGGCCATGAAGGGGTAGAGCCGCTGGAAGAGCCACGCCTGCTCCCCACAGAGAGAGACACCTCAGGCCAGCTGTGAAGAGCTCTTCACGGCAACGAGGGCCAGCCAAGCTGCCTGCTTCGCCGGGTCCGAGATGGCAGCCTGCTTGTACGCGTCCAGCTCCGATGGCTCGATCCCTCTCCGCTTGGCGAGGATGTCCGCCTAGGGGTGGGCGGGTGTGGCTCATAACGGGATACAGCACAGCACGCCTTCCGCTCGGCGAGAAGGGTGGGCCGAGCTCTTGTAGATAGCTGGCACTGGGTCGAGATGGGGAGGCAAGCCTCGCTGCTTGAGGCAGAGGGCACCTATCCACAGCGGCGGGTGCTAAGAGGCGCCGTCCACAGCCATCCCCCACGTCGCAAAGGCAGAAGCCGCTCCGATGGCGGAGAGCCCGCCCGCGATACGAGAGGCGTGGATCTCGCGCCCCTGCCCGCACCGGAGGCGGTCGAGCAGCGCCGCCGCGCAGGCGTTCGCCCCAATCACGCCCGCGTAGATGGAGCAGAGCTGGAGCGGCGTGTACGTCACCGGCCGGTCGAGCCAGCCCATCATGTCCATGTCCGTGAAGAAGCCTGTTCAGCGCCAGAGGCGTGAAGAGAGGCGCTGAGCACTGCCGATGCCAGTGATGTGGACGAGGCCGGTGAGCGCGCTCAGGTAGTCCTCGTCGACGTCGTCAGGCAGGTGGCCGAACCGCTCGTCGCCCGGCAGCGCGGCGACGGTGCGCATCAGAACCTGGTGAGGCAGGCGCGCGAGCGAGGCGTCGGCTCCGTCGACGAGGATGATGTCGGCTGAGGACGGCTCGACGTCAGAGGCGCGAACTGCGATCTTGTTGCGGTTGAGGTACGAGTCAACGCTGCCACCCTCCTTTGGGTCGATGACAAGGACCTCGGCGCCCTGATCGGCGAAAAGCAGTCCCGTGAGTCGGCCAGAGAGGAGGTTGGCCTTCTCGAGCACGCGGACGCCCTCGAACGGGAGGCGAGGCTTGGCCACCGCGGCCGACAGCGAGCGGCGGGCGACGAGCGGGAGGCGAGGCTTGGCTAGCCACGAGCTGTGGGAGGCTCGCGAGGCTCGACCAGCTCGAAGAGGCCACATTTCCTTCCCCCCCTTCGTTTCGGCTGCCGAGACCTCGAGAGCGAGCAAACGAATGTAAGATTTCTTCATCTAGCCACGAGCATCGTTTCACTCCTATCGCAAATAAAATTCTTCTTCGCTATGAGGGGGGGAAATCAATTGCCCCCATGAGCGGCGCCATCAGCCCGTTCGTGCTCGCCGACCTGCGCCGGGGCGACTTGACCTCGCTGCGCGCCCTCCTCGCCGGGCGGACGCGCGGCGCGGCGCTCACGGCCCTGCTCGACGCGCGGCTCGAGGCCCAGAACCACTTCACGCTGCTCACCTGGGCCGCTCGGCACGGGCAGGCCGACGCCGTGCGGCTGCTGCTCGAGAGCGGCGCGAGCGTGGGGGCGACGACCGGCGGCGGCTCCACCGCGCTGGCCATCGCGTGCCAGGAGGGCCACCTCGAGTGCGTGCGGCTGCTTCTCGGCGCCAACGCTGACGCCGACCAAGCCAAGGACACCGGCGCCACGCCGCTGTTCATGGCGTGCCAGCAGGGCCAGCTCGAGTGCGCCCGGCTGCTCCTCGGCGCCAGCGCGGCGATCAACCAAGCCAGGAACAGCGGCGCGACGCCACTGTTCATCGCGTGCCAAGAGGGCCAACTCGAGTGCGTTCGGCTGCTTCTCGAGGCCAGCGCGGCGGTCAACCAAGCCAAGAACAACGGCGCCACGCCGCTGTACATTGCGTGCCAGAACGGCCAGCTCGAGTGCGTTCGGATGCTTCTCGAGGCCAGCGCCGCGGTCAACCAAGCCAACGCCAACGGCGCCACGCCGCTGTACGTCGCGTGCCTGAACGGCCGCCTCGACATCGTCCGGCTGCTTCTCGAGGCTGGCGCGGCGGCCGACCAAGCCACAGGCCGCGGCTTCACGCCGCTGCACGTCGCGTGCCAGAAGGGCCACTCCGCCGTCGTGCTCTGCTTGCTGCGGGCTGGCGCTGACACGGCGGCGCGCACCTCGGGCGGGCGTACGGCGCTGCAGATGGCCAAGGAGAGGGGCCACGCCGAGTGCGTCAAGATCTTCTCTGAGGAGGCGGAGGCGGCGCGGCGCGAGGCGGCGGCAGCGACGGCGGCTGCAGAGGGCCGAGCAAGGGCGGGCGGCGCTTCCTCGGGCGCGGCAGCGGCAGCTGTGGACGCGCCGCTGCTCGGGCAGCGAGTCGTGCTCGGTGGGCTCTCGGACCGCCCCGAGCTGAACGGCCAGCGCGGCGTGGCATGGAGCTTCGAGGGCGGGCGGTACGTGGTGGCGCTCGAGGGCAGCGCCGAGTGCGTGCGAGTGCAGCCGGACAAGCTGTGCCAAGCCACCGATGAGGTCGTCGCGGCAGCTGGGCGAGGCGACGAGGCGGCGGTGCTGGCGTGGCTTGATGGCGGCGGGCTGGTCGACGCGACGTTCGAGAAAGACGACACGGGTGCCTTCACGCTGCTGATGAGCGCCGCCCGCTACGGCCACGAGCGTGTGGCCGGCTTGCTGCTGCGGCACGGCGCGGAGGTCGACCTTCTGAACAGCGACGGCAACACCGCGCTGATGTACGCCGCCTGCCAAGGCCACGAGCGGCTGGTTGACCTGCTGATTCGGCACGGCGCGGAGATCAACCAGAAGGAAGACAACGGTGACACCGCGCTGATGGACGCCGCCGGCAACGGTCATGAGCGGGTTGTCGATTGTCTGATTCGGCACGGCGCGGAGATCAACCTGCTTGGCAGCAACGGCTGGACCGCGCTGATGGGCGCCGCTGGCGGAGGCCACGAGCGGGTGGTCGATTGTCTGATTCGGCACGGCGCGGAGATCGACCTGCAGGACAGCGACGGCGAAACCGCGCTGTTTGCCGCCGCCTACTGGAACCGCCCCGCCGTTGTGCTCCGCCTGCTGCGGGCGGGCGCAGACACGGCGGTATGCGACGCGGGCGGCAAGACTGCGCTGCAGATTGCCAAGCACAAGGGCCGCCGCGCCGAGTGCGTGCGCGCCCTCGAGGAGCATGCGGCGGCCGAGGCGGTGGCGAAGGAGGCAATTGAGGCGGCGGTGCGGCGTACCGAGGCGGCGGCGAAGGAGGCGGCCAAGCGGGCAGCGGACGAGGAGCGGCGGGCGGCGGTCGAGGAGCGGCGGTCGGCGGTCGAGGAGCGGCGGGCGGCGGTCGCTGCCGCCCTCGAGGAGAAGCGGCGCGCCATCGCCGCCGAGACCGCGGCGAAGCTTGCCGCCGACCGCGCTGCGGCGGAGGCGGCGCAGCGAGCGAGGACGGCGGAGCGCTCGTCGGCCGAGGCTGCAGAGCGAGAGGCGCAGCGGGAAGCGCTTGCGGCTCGCAAGGCAGACGAGGCGGCTGCGGCGCGGCAGAGGGAGGAGGCTGCGGCGAGGCGGGCGAGAGAGGCAGAGGCGAAGCGGCGCGCACGGCTGGAGGATCAGAAGGAGGCCAAGGAGGCGGCCAAGCAGAAGAAGAAGGCGGGGAAGAAGACGCCGTCCGCTTTTGCGCTGGAGAAGGAGCGCGAGAAGCGCGCCGCGGCCGCAGAACGCGAGCGGAAGGAGAAGGCCGAGGCGCTCGCAGCTGAGCTTGCGGCTGAGCGCGAGGCAAAGGCTGCAGCCGAGGATCAGGCGAGGCGCGAGCAGCTGGAGCGCGAGGCGGCCGGTCGAGCAGCGGCGGAGGCGGCGGAGTTGAGGGCGGTAGAGGCGGAGTTGGCAGCGGTGCAGGCGGCGCAAGAGGAGAGGGCGAGGCTGGACGACGAGGCGAGGCGCGAGGCGGAGGAGCAGGCGTTTGCCGAGGTCGAGGCTTGCGCGGCGTCCGATGCCGCAAGCGAGCCGCCGCAACAGGCGCGTAAAGAGGCGGACCGGCTGGCCGAGGCGGAGGCGACGAGGGCGGCCGCTGAGGTCGAGGCGGTGGCAAGAGCCGTCGTCGAGGCAGAGAAGGTGGCTCAGCGAGCGGCCGAGGCAGAGGCGCGCGCGGCGGCGGCGGTCGACGGAGAGAAGGCTCATGCGCAGCGTGCGCAGGCGGAAGCCGAGGCGGCGGCGAAGGCGCAGTTGGCGGAGAGCAAAGGCTTGTGCTAGTCTAGCGGCGAGACTGGTGGCTACGGCGGAGGAAGATGAGGCGAAGGCAGGGGTGGATGAGGCGGCGGCGGCGGCGGCGGCCAAGACTGCGGCGGCAAGCAAGGCCAAGGCGCTCGCGTCGAGGGCGGCGGCAGCGACGGCGGCCGCAGCGAGGGAGGCGGCAGAGGCAGCGCACGCCGTTTGGGTGGCGTGCGCGATCGAGGGAGGGCTGGACGTGGGAGAGACGGTCGCGATGCCAACGGCGCCGCCAGCAGGCGTCAACGACGTCATTCGAGCGACGCGTCGGGGATCCTTGCCGTCTCGACTCGGGCGCATCTGCGAGGCGATCGGGATGGAGCCGGGCCCCAGCCTCCCCGACACGGCTCGCGGCGCCGCTGCGGCGCTCGGCATCACCCTGGTTGACCGAGGGTTTGTCGACAAGGTGGCGCAGTTGGAGCAGCACCTCAAGCTTTGCTGAACAGCGGTTGAGGTTCGTCTTGCTGAGAGTTACCAAGGGACTGGGGTGGATTTGCCTAAGTGAAGCACGCCAATAGAGCAAAAAAACAGACGCGGACACTAATCCTCGCACATCAGTCGGGAGTGGAGGAGGCAGGACCAGGAGGGTCCCGCTAGGCTCAGATGGGGTAGATGTGCACAGTATGTGCGCTGTGCAGCGCGCTGTTGAGCGCTGTGCAGACAACTGGCACTCTACATGCCAGAGGTGTGCGTCATTGCTCGCGGTGCCGCCGGCACAGCCTGCGAGCAAATGCTCCTCCTCCGCCTCTCCCTCACCCCTCCTTCTCACTGCCCCGGCGCCCACACCTCGATCTTCGTCGGCAGCAGCTGGTTCTGCTCGTCGCCGTGGCCCAACTTGCCAAAGTCTCCATCGCCCCAGCTCCAGACGGCTCCGTCGGCGGAGATGGCGATGCTGTGGTCGCTTCCAGCCGACACAGCGACGACGCGCCGGCCAGCCAAGGCCTCGACCTTATTCGGCAGCAGCTGGTTCTGCTCGTCGCCGTGGCCCAGCTTGCCCCGGTGTCCATGGCCCCAGCTCATGACGGCGCCGTCGGCGGTGATGGCGAGGCTGTGGCGGGGTCCAGCCGACACAGCGACGGCGCGCTGACCCACGAAGGCCTCGATCTTCTTGGGCAACAGCTGGTGCTGCTCATCGCCGTGGCCCAACCGGCCGTGGGCTCCAAAGCCCCAGGTAAAGACAGCCCCGTCGGCGGTGAGGGCGAGGCTGTGGCCGCTCCCCGCCGAGACAGCGACGACGCGCTGATCAGCAAAGGCCTCGATCTTCTTGGGCAGCAGCTGGTTCTGCTCCTCGCCGTGGCCCAGCTTGCCAAAGTATCCATCGCCCCAGCTCCAGACGGCGCCGTCGGCGGTGAGGGCGAGGTTGTGGTTCTTTCCAGCCGACACGGCGACGACGCGCTGCCCAGCAAAGGCCTCGATCGTCTTGGGAAGCGGCTGGCCCTGCTCGTCGCCGTGGCCCAGCTTGCCCCAGCCTGCACCGCCCCAGCTCCAGACGGCGCCATCGGCGGCGAGGGCAATGCTGTGGTACGCTCCAGCCGACACAGCGACGACGCGCTGCCCAGCAAAGGCCTCGACCTTCTTCGGCAGCAGCTGGTTCTGGTAGTCGCCGTGGCCCAGCTGGCCCCAGCCTCCATCGCCCCAGCTCCAGACAGCTCCGTCGGCGGCGAGGGCGAGGCTGTGGTAAGACCCAACCGACACACTCACGGCACGATCGTCGCCCAGCGAGAGGCGGGTCGGCGTGTTGAGCCGCGTCACGCCCTCGCCGTGCCCGAGCAGCCCTGGTTTGTACTCTGTGCCGCACGACGAGAGCCGCCCCTCGCCGTCGATGAAGACGCTGTGCCATTCGCCTGCCGCCGCCCTCGCCGGCGGGTTGAACTCGCGCAGCAGCGCAGCAAAGCACAGCCACCGCACGGCGCAGCCCTCGCCCTCCGGCAGCGCCGGCAGCTCGAAGCCGCGCTCTTGCGCCCGCAAGCGGATGCCCTCTAGCGCGAGCGAGGCGTGGAAGAGAAGCGAGACGGCCGCGACGCGAGCGATGTCGGCGGGGTTGCAGCGAGAGAGGGCGCGCGCGATGAGCTCCGTGGGGAGGTCGAGGAGGCGGGTGGGCGGCGGCGTGTCTGGCGAGGGCGCTGCGGTTGCGGCGGCGGCGAGGCGGCGCGAGGGTGGACATCGCGAAAAAAAGAATTTTTTGTGCATTTAGCCTAAGAATTTCGCTTATATGAATGCATTCGCTTATATGAATCCACAAGTCAATTTGTACCAGAAATCCAAAGGTGGTGCAAAATGGATATCTCAAGATTGGCCTTTAGTTCGCGCACCTGCTCTCCGCCGCCGCCGCTTACCTGCTGGCACGCCACCGCCCCGCGTCGCTAACTCAAGCCTCCCTGCTGCACTTCGCACCCCTGCCACATGACTCGACCGCCGTCGCTGCTACCGCCCTCTCCGCCGCCCTCGAAGGCGCCACCAGCATTACGGCCGCCTTCATATCTCATTGATGCTGCCACCAACGCCACTTCCTCGATTCTGTGCCGCTGCAGCGGCGAGGCGCCGTCGCCACGATCGCCGCCAGCGCTGCTGACAGCCTCGGAGCGTCGCCGTGGCCGCGTTCTGGTCTGCCCACGCTTCCCTAAAATGTCTAGGACGAGCTCAGAGGCTAAGGGCGCATCATGTGGGACCATCTAGCTCTACTGGGTCCGCGACGGCGGTCGGCGCACCCCCGTCTCGAACGTGTGTGCTCTCTGTCTGTCTGTCAGCTGTTTCGGCTAAGTCGTTTTGTACCGGATTTCAATGTTAGTGGCAAAACCGCGGAACCAAAAATGGCGTTTAATTTCGCGCACCTGCTGTCCGCCGCCTGCGGCGGCGCTCCGCGCCGCTTGGGGCGCCTGCGGCGCCCCTGGGCGCGCTGCGCGCGCCTGTTTTGGGGGGGCTACCAGCACCGAAAAAGTGCCATTCTTTTCCCAGCGACCTTGTCCGGCTTCGCTATGTCCGGACTCTCTGCCACCAGGACCTGTTTGGTTGTCCTCGGTGCGTCGCTGGCCGCCGGCAGCGCCGCCGGCACCGCCAGCGCTGCCGCCGCGCTGCAGAAGCGGCTGCAGGAAATTGCGGTGGAAAAGCAGGAGCTTTACAACTGCTCCATCGGGATCGCCGTGGAGACTGGTGCTGGTCTGGTGGTGTCCGCCGGCAACGACGGATCTTTCGCGTGGGGCTCGGTCACCAAGCTTGCAACCGGCGCGGCGCTGATGCAGCAGGTCGCTGCGCGCCGCATCTCGCTGGATACGCCGGTGGCGCCGCTCATCGACCCGCTGCTGGTCCGCGAGGGCCTCGGTCGGATGCACGTGCTGTTTGGTCCACGGGCGGACTCAATCACGCTCGAGCACCTGCTCGCCATGAAGTCTGGGATCCCCGACTACGACACAGCGACGCCCTACCCGCCGCCACCCACAGACGCGTTTCGCAAGGACGTCTACGCTCAGCCGGCAGCCGAGCCCTTGTCTCCGGCGCGCCTCTCTCTAGCAGCCCACGGACCTTCTCACCTCCCGTGTAGGCGGCCGAGTGGCCTCCCGCGCGGCTCCTCAACCTCTCCTACGTGCGCAAGGGGAAGCTCGAGTTCGAGCCAGGCGCGCACTGGGCGTACTCGTCGACCAACTTTGTGCTCGCCGGCCTACTGCTCGCGCGGCTCTCCAACGCGACAAGGTGGGACGCGTACGGCCAGGCGGCCCTCCTCTCTCCCCTCCCCGCGCAGCGCCGCTCGTCGTACGCTCTCGACTTCGCCTCCCACGGCACCCCCGCCGCCCACGGCGCTGTCCGCGGCTTCGACCGCACCTCGTACAACGGCGCAAACGCCTCGGCGAGGCCCGGCGTCGACGTCTCTGACGTGGCCGGTCCGACACCTAGCCGAGATCCAGCCGAGATCCGGCCGAGGTCCAGCCGAGATCCGGCCGAGATGCAGGCGAGATCTAGCCGAGATCCGGCCGAGACGCAGGCGAGACGCAGCCGAGATGCAGGCGAGACGCAGCCGAGATTCAGGCGAGCTACAGGTGACTCCTGTCGGACGTGGCTTGTCTGTTGCCGCGTGTGGGCGTATGCGAGAGCGTCCTCCCCCCGGTTCCCGACGCGGCCCGCCCCCTTTCCCACAGGCGTCTTCGGAGGCTGGACCGCGTCTGACATCGTCGCTCCCCCGGCGTCGGTGGCGCGACTGGCGCGTGGCACTGTGTTCGGCGCGGGGGCCGTCCCCTGAGCCTGCTCGGACCACGGCTGCAGGTGGCGAGGCTCGTGTACGACCTCTTCGGCGCCAGCGGCCCGCGGCTGCTCGCTCGCCGGTACGTCGACGAGATGATCCCCGGCGCCAGAGATGCGGCGGGAGGGGGGCAGAGCGATTGGGCGCGGGGCGCGCCGCCCCTGAGCGGCGGCCGCGTCGCCTCGGCCGCCTCGCGCCGCCTCGAGGCGGCGAGGGGCCGGCTCGGCGCGAGGTCCGACGCGGACAGCCACCGGATGGAGGACATCTACGGCAGCACACGCCTCTAGAGCCGACCGGCGCGGGGGGACGGGGCGTGGCTGGCGTGAGCGCGGGCGTGACTGCGTGGGTGTAGGCCTCGCAACCTTCAACCTGAGCATCATGGGCGTGACGGGCCAGTCCTCCCTCAGCCCGTATGCTGTCTCCTACGGCCACCTCGGGGCGACGTGAGCCCGTCGGCCGCCCCTCCACCGCCGCCAACCTGGACCCTTCCCGGAACCTGCCTGGAACCTTCTCTGTAGGTACGGGTACGACTCCATCGCCGCCTACTTCCCCGCCATCGACGCCGCCGTCTCCATCGGGACGAGCATCGAGACGGACTCGCAGACGGCGCCCTCCGACACGCTCTGCCTCGTGTACAACGCGCTCCTCGCCGCCGTGCGAGGCACGGCCGAGCCGCGCTGCTCCTTCTCCAAGGAGAGCTACTTTGGAGGCCGGTGCGACTGCGGGAACACGTACGCCTGCCACAAGCTGCTCCGCAAGTGCGTCAAGAGCGAGCTGGGCAGCCTCTCGAAGGAGGACTGCAGCCGCACGTGCTAGTCCCCTTGCGCGCCTCGAAGTTGAGGGGGCACACGCGGGGGACGGTGCGTGTGCGCGAGGCAAGATCGGCGCGTCCGCGTGGCGGTCCTGGGTACTGCTGTAGTATTACGTTGGAGACGTTTCGTATGCAAACCCTGGTGTGCTATTGTGCGTGTATATTAGGAGTGGTAACGACAAACGAGAGAGGGCGCTGTGGCCAGAGGCGCAGGCCCCGCTGCACCAGCGCGCAGCGGCGAGCTGGCCCCGTCCGTGGCCGCCCGCGGTGCCGGCGCTGCACCAGCGGCGCGGCCAGCTGCCATATCCGCATATGGTTCTCGCGGACGCGGTTCGGTACACGGCATGTTACGAGACACTTGTCACAGTACCTATTCTTTTGTACCACGGTGCGACCATGCGCTCACATGTCACATACGCAGAGAGACCGGACTGGGACACGCCCCCGGGGCCACAGTCTGCGGTGCCACACACCCCACGCGCCAGATATCATCTCGTGTGTTCACATAATGGAGGTGCCAGACAAGCGAACGGGCGATGCGAAGTAGCGAAGCGAGCCGCCACGGCGTGTGCATACCAGGACGCTGCGGGCCGCTTCGGCACCTTCGGAACGGCACCGGCTGAGCATGGGACAAACTTGCGCAAACTTGTCGTCCCCCTTACTGCCCCCGACCCCATGCCTCGATCTTCTTGGGCAGCAGCTGGCGCTGCGTGTCGCCGTGGCCCAACTGGCCGTGGTCTCCATCGCCCCAGCTCCAGGCGGCTCCGTCGGCGGTGATGGCGAGGCTGTGGTCGGTTCCAGCCGACCCAGCGACGACGCGCCGGCCAGCCAAGGCCTCGACCTTCTTCGGCAGCAGCTGGTTCTGCTCGTCGCCGTGGCCCAACCGGCCAAAGACTCCACTGCCCCAGCTCCAGACGGCTCCGTCGGCGGTGATGGCGAGGCTGTGGAAGGGTCCAGCCGACACAGCGACGACGCGCCGCCCAGCAAAGGCCTCGACCTTCTTTGGCAGCAGCTGGTGCTGCTCGTCGCCGTGGCCCAACTTGCCACGGCCCCAGCTCCAGGCGGCTCCGTCGGCGGTGAGGGCGAGGCTGTGGTTGCCTCCAGCCGACACAGCGACGACGCGCTGGCCAGCCAAGGCCTCGATCTTCTTGGGCAGCAGCTGGGTCTGCAGGTCGCCGTGGCCCAACATGCCTCGCCATCCATCGCCCCAGCTCCAGACGGCGCCGTCGGCGGTGAGGGCGATGCTGTGCGCCTCGCCAGCCGACACAGCGACGACGCGCTGGCCAGCCAAGGCCTCGACCTTCCTCGGCAGCAGCTGGTTCTGCTCGTCGCCGTGGCCCAACTGGCCTTCTTCTCCACTGCCCCAGCTCCAGACGGCGCCGTCAGCGGTGAGGGCGAGGCTGTGGCCGAGTCCAGTCGACACAGCGAAGACCCGCTGGCCAGCCAAGGCCTCGACCTTCGTCGGCTGCCACTGGTCCTGCTCGTCGCCGTGGCCCAGCCGGCCACCGCCTCCAAGGCCACAGCTCCAGACGGCGCCGCCGGCGGTGATGGCGAAGCTGTGCCCGAACCCAACCCTCACGCTCACGGCGCGCTCGCCGCCCAGTGGAGAAGGGAGGCGGGCTGGCGTGTTGAGCCGCGTCACGCCCTGGCCGTGTCCGAGCAGTCCTGGAGAGGGGAGCCAGGTCGGCGGTGAGCCGCACGACGAGAGCCGCCCCTCGCCGTCGATGAAGATGCTGTGCCAAGCGCCCGCCGCCAGCCTCGCCGGCGGGTTGTGCTCGCACAGCAACGCCGCAAAGCACAGCCACCGCACGGCGCATCCCTCGCCCTCTGGCTGCGCCGGCAGCTCGAAGCCGCGCTCTTGCGCCCACAAGCGGATGCCCTCTACCGCGAGCGAGGCGTGAAAGAGGAGCGAGACGGCCGCGACGCGAGCGATGTCGGCGGGGTCGCAGCGAGAGAGGGCGCGCGCGATGAGCTCCGTGGGGAGGTCGAGGAGGCGGGTGGGCGGCGGCGTCTCTGGCGAGGGCGCGGCGGTGGAGGCGGCGGCGAGGCGGCGCGAGCGGCGGCGCGGCGGGGCAGACATCGCGAGGAAAAGAAATCCGCGCGCAGTGTTAGTTCGGCCCTGGATGTGCGGTTGATGACTGCCCAAGTGCTCCAAGGTTATCGACGACCCATGTGGATTGAATGTAATAAAATAAGTGAATGTCCTCTAGTCCTCCGCGCTGTCGTGGCCGATGCACTCGAAGTACGTCTCTGTCAGCTGCTCCATCCCGGCGTACACCTCCGGCTTCGCCTCGAGGCGGCGCAAGTACACGCTCGCCTCGAGGGCCGCCTTGCTCGGCGGCCCGCGCTCGTCGCCCGCCGCGGTGGCCGCCTCGCGCGCCGCCTCCTTGGCTACCTTTTGCGCCTCTCGCAGCAGCAGCGCCAGCACGGAGCCTCCGATCTTGTTTGTCACCATCGAGACGATGGCTTGCGGCAGCGCGGAGGAGGCCTTGAGGTCGACCTGCATCACCCAATCGATGCGCGCCGAGCTGCGCGAGAGCGGCTGCACGAGCACCTTGATGGCGGCGGCTTCGGCGAGCGCCACGCCCGCCGCCGCCGCCGGCAGCCGCGCGTCCGCCCCCTCGGGCACGGACGCGCCGAGCAGCAGCAGGGACTGCCGCTCGAGGAGCTGGTCCGAGAGGGACCAGTGCAGCAGCAGGCCGCGCCGCAGCATCGGCAAGTCGAACTGGCAGTACGTGATCCGCTCGAGCGGCTCGGGCGCAGCGACGACCTCCGCCGCCGAGCAGAGCGGGATCCAGTTGCGCCACAAGTCGGCCTCGTACGCCACGCTGAGCGCGTGCCTGCGGGGAGGCTCCGAGACGGCTCAGCGGCAAGGGCTCGTGCCCTTGGCCTCGTGCTCCACGCGGAGCGGGTGCGTGAGCGAGGCGCCGCGCAGCTCGCCGCCCAGCCTACCGGGAGAGAGGGAGTCAGCTGAGGGCGAGGCGCGGCCGCACGCGAGGAGCCGCTCCCCCCCCCCAACAACCCACCGGATCCAAAAGGCGGCGCCCTCGTCGGCGGGCCGCCACTCGGTCCGCACGCCCGCCGCCTCGGACGCGAGCTTCCACCCGCCGCCGCCGCCGTCGCCGCTCTCCTTGAACTCGCGCAGCGCGGTGCTCACCTCAGCGGCGCGACTCCGCAACTCGTTGAGCATCGTCCGCACCGCCGTGAGCCACTCCCTCTCCTACCATGGGGAGATATGGGGAGATATGGGGAGATATGGGGAGATATGGGGAGATATGGGGAGATATGGGGAGATATGGGGAGATATGGGGAGCCACTCCCTCTCCTACCGCCGTCCGGACCAGCCTGAGCGCGCTGCCAACTGCCCACGCGGGGCCGGCTCGGCTCATCTCCGCTCATCTCCGCTCATCTCCTCCCATCTCCGCCTATCTCCGCCCATCTCCGCCCATCTCGACCCATCGCAATTCCTCTCGGCTCATCGCGGCTCTCTGCTCATCTCGGCTCGGCCCATCGCGGCGCGTCCCCTCTCCTGCTCGTCCCTCTCCGCGAGGCACGCTCGTGTCACCAGCCGCTCGATCGGCTTGAGCGTCTGCCCCGCCGCGACGAGCCGCCGCGCGCGCAGCAGCCGCACCAGCTGCCGGATCCCGTCCTGGGGGAGGAGAAGGAGGAGGAGGGGGGAGGGGGGGGGTTGAGAAAGAGCCCCCGAGGGCAGTCCGCACGCCGCGCGGCGCCGCCTGCAGCTCGGTGCCGTGCTCCGTGGGGAGACATGGGGAGATATGGGGGAGATATGGGGGAGATATGGGGAGATATGGGGGAGATATGGGGGAGATATGGGGGAGATATGGGGGAGATATGGGGGGAGAGGATGTCGCGCCTGCAGCTCGGTGCCGCTCCATGGGGAGATACGGGGAGATATGGGGGAGATATGGGGGGAGAGGATGTCGCGCCTGCAGCTCGGTGCCGTGCTCCGCGTACAGGGAGGCCGACTCGGAGAAGAGGTCCTCCAGCTTCTCCTCGAGCGAGGTTGCGGTGGCGGCGAGGCACGCCTGCTCACAGCTCGAGCCGTGAAGAGACGCCGTTCACACAAGCCAGCGAGCCGGCGAGCCTCGCCGGCACGCCGCCCCGCGGCAGCAGCTCGATGCCGACGCGCGAGGCGCGGAGCCCCTCCTCGGCCTCCTGCGGGCAGAGGGCGGAGGGGGTGTCGCACGGCTGGCCTCTCGTCCGCCCACCTCCGCCCGCGTCCGCTCTCCTTGAGCCGCGAGCGCGCCATCGACAGCTCCGCCGCCGACGGCCCCCCCTCGGATTGCTGCGCCGCAGCGATGACTTGCCTAACCTCGGGTGATCTCGGAGGTGACCTCGGGCGATCTCGGACTGCTGCGCCGCGCGCCGACGGCTCGCCGGTACGCGGCCGCCGCCATCGCGTGGTCGCCGAGCTTGACGCGAAGGTTGGCTGCCTAATTAATAGTTGATTAATAGTTGATTAATAGTTCATTAATAGCTTGACGCGGAGGTTGGCTGCCGAGAGGGCGGTCGAGATCTTCGGCTGCAGCGCGTACGCGGCCTCGAGTGCCTCGCACGCCTGCGGCAGAGGGGAGAGGGGCGGGAGGGTGAGGGCGGACGGGGGGGGCGGGAGGGGCGGGGGGAGCGGGTGGCGGGCGGCGCGCGCCTTCTTGTACCGCCCCTCCGCGTTGAGCGCCTTCGCGCGGGCAAACAGCTCGTCCGCCGACTCGGCGGGCTCGTCCACAGCCTCCGCCATGGCGCGGAGCCCCTCGACCGCTTTGCCGCGCAGGCCCGCCCCCAGTCCCCGCACCTTGGCGCCGAGCGAGAGGCGGCCCGCAGCCGCGCCGCCCCCCTCCGGGTCGTCCGCAGCGCCGCCCGCCTCGCCTCCACCCTCGCCGCCGCCCTCGCCGGTGCCCTCGCCATGCCCGGCAGAGGCCAACGCGGGGGCAGCCTCGCCTCCCTCCCCCGCCGCCGGCCGCCCCTCGCCACCGCCCTCCCCACCGCCGCCCTCCTTGCCGCCGCCCTCCTTGCCGCCGCCCGCCCCGCCTCCGCCATTCGCCACCCCGCCGCCGCCGCCTCCGCCGCCGCCCTCTCCGCCGCCCTCGTCGCTCTCCTCGTCGCTCTCGTCGCTTAGCACAAGCCGCTGCGCCGCCACCGGCCGCAGCGCGGCTGCGGGCGCCGCCTTCACCGGCGCCGGCTCCGCCCCCTCCTCCTCTCCGCCCTCCTCCTCCTCTGAGGGAGGGCCAAACGCGACCTCGGACGCCGCCTCCGCCGCCTCCAGCCAGCTCTGCTTCCGCGCAACCCCGCCCGCCGGCTGGCCGCCCGCCGGCTGGCCGCGCGGCGGCGGCGTTAGCATCGGGACGGTTGCGGCGGCCTTGCTGAGCGCGTCCCGCTTGGGCTTGGGCGTCTTCGGCGTCTTCGGCGTCGCCTTGACGGCGCAGGAGGACGAGTGAGAGACGGGAGCCAGTCCGGGAGCCTTCTCGGAGCCTTCCCGCGCGTCGCCTTGACGGGCAAGAAGACGAGCGGCACGACCGGCTCGCCCTCGCTCGCCTCTGCCAACTCCACCTCGTCGCAGCCGTGGCCGCCCGGCGAGCCGAGCGCAGACCTGCGGGAAGGCTCCGAGAAGGGTGATGGAGAGAGGGCTCAGTGGCCGCGCCAGCCAAGCGAGCCCTCGCGCAGACTCGGCGTCGTCGACGGTGAAGGCGGAGAGGCCTCGGACCAGCCGCAGGTCGGCCGCCTGCGGGACATGTCCCGGACACGTCGCGGACCTGTCGCTCGAGCGGAGCAGTGGTGCCCGCCACACAGGTCGGGCCGCGCCTCCTCGTCGAGTGCCACCGAGCCGTACCGGTAGAGCATCAGCGGGCGGCGCAGCACGTAGGCCGCCGCCGCCCCCGCCGCGAGGCTCGAGAGGTTGACCAGCGACGAGAGCACAAACAGGAACGGGCCGAGAAGCGGCGGGAGCTCGTCGTCCTGTTGACACCTCCAGCCGTGAAGAGACGCCGTTCACAGGCCGGCCAGCGGCGGGAGTGTCGTGAGCGTCCTCGTCGCTGCGCGCGGCGGAGAGGGCGACCGGAGCGCCGACGGAGCCGAGGAGGTAGCACAGGTTGAAGACCGTGCACAGCGCGTGGTGGCGCTGCACGTCCGGCAGCGTCGCCGCCATCCCAAATCCGTCGATGCCGCAGAAGAGGAGCAGCACCGGCGCTCCGGCGGCGGCGGTGGCGAGCAGGAGCGAGGCGACCTGCAGCCCGATCAGCCCCTGCATCAGCCGCTGCAGCTTGCGTGCCCAGCGCACGGCCTCTGCGTCCGACCGCTGCCGCCTGCCTCGCGCCCGCTTGGACCGCGTCGCCATCTTGCGCAGCCGTTCGGCGGAGAGCTCCGGCTGGTCGTGGCCCTCCGCGCGTCGAACTGAGAGGATCTTTCGCCGGTTTGCGGCAAGAGCGGCCTCGATGTCCACGTCCTTCATCAGGTCTTTTCAGCGAGGCAGTGTGAGGCCAGCAGCGCACTGCAGGACTGTTTCAGCGAGGCAGTGTGCGGCCAAGCAGCGCCCTGCAAGCGGTGCAAAGCTGCCCAGGCAGCGCCGCCAAGAGAAATCGCGCGAGAGGGTCGAGGGGCCGCCCCCGAGGCTCCACACCAGGCGTTGCGGCTGCCAATACCGCCACCGTACCCGCCACCCCTGCCACCGCCTCCGCCTCCTCTGCTGGAGTGGCCGCAGGGTCATGGGGCCGCCACTGAGGCTCCACACCAGGCAGGCGCTGTGGCCGCCAGTGCCGCCACCGTACCCGCCCCCCCACCGCCGCCTCCACCCCCGCTGCCGGCGTGGCCGTCACCGTACGGACCCGCTCGGAACCTGGGGAATCCGCAGCCGCCCCGCCGGAGGCTGGAGTACCCGAGGGAGGGGACCGAGGGGGGGGAGGTGCTGTGGGGAGACAGTGGGCCAGCAGACGAATCGGGAGGTCGAGACCGGAGGGCCCCGGGTGAGACCTGGAGTCAACTGTCGGAGGGGGTGAGAGTTGAGCTATCTCGGCCTCTGCGAGTGGGGTCGGGACATACGAGCCCGCCAGGGGTAGACCCGTCGCGGCGGCAGCTGGACCACCGTGATTTACGACAAGGGGAGCCACGGCCCTCCGAGCTCGACGAGGGGCCAGCGGGGGGGAGGGGCGAGCCGAGAACGATAGAGAGGCCGCGGGTGCGGGCGCGACTCGTCGACCAGGGAGAGCGGGCCCGACCTCCCGGGGAGGGGAGGCGACACGGTCCAATGCCGCCGTCCTCGCCCGGGGAAACCTCGGCCGGGCCGTCGACACTCTCGGAACCGGTGGAGCCGGGAGGAGCTGGCGAAGACGAAAGGCGGCAGCGGAGAAAGCGACACCAACAACGAGGGAAACGACCCCCCCAGCCGTCGTATGACGCTCGGCAAGCGAGCAAGAGAGCGAATCGAGGAGAACCGGAGCCCCGGGAGGACGGAAGGTGGAGCTACGGGACCGAGGACTAAGCAAGTGTCTGTGTTTGGGCGTGGTGTACAGTGTAATGTCCACTAGCTCCGAGTAGAGGGGGGGTCCTGCAGTTAAGGGGAAACCCGGTACGCGGGTCCAACCCTCGGAGACCTGTGTTTACTTTACGGCCCTTTCCCTGCGAACGCGCACCCCCCAGGGCTAGGGCTCTCTAGCCCGTAACCCGATCCCGATCATCCGGCCCGCTGGGTGCGCTTCTCAGCTCCCCGGCCCTGGATGTGAGGCTAATGACTGCACTCCAAGTGCTCCAAGTGCGATGACTGCATTCGAAGTGCTCCAAGCCTCCAAGTGCACGGTCACTCAGCTCTTGCCCCCCCCCCCCCCCCCCGATCCCGATCCCGATCATCCGGCCCGCTGGGTGCGCTTCATAGCTCCCCGGCCCTGGGTGTGAGGCTGCCGACTCCACACTCCAAGCAAGTCTCTTGGCAGCCCAGGCTGAGTATCTGAGCACTGAGTGGGATAGGGTCGATTCCGCATGGTACATGGTACGGGACCCCTCGATCGTCTCGCCCTCCCTCGCTGGTGTGTTCATTGGGGGGGTGGACCCCACTTCCCCGGGGGAGGCCGGCCTTCCCCGTGCCGGTTCTCCCCAACCAACCCCGCCGGCAGCGCGAGCTGCCGGCCATATTGAGCGGTTCAACCGCGTCGCGCACTCGTCCCAACCGGGGGCCGCAGACTCGTTCTGCGAGTCAACGGCTGGTGACGAGGTGTTGCCCTTGAGCTAGTCCTTCCCCGGTCGCCTAGCCTCTGCGCTGGCGAACGCCTGTGTGCCATGCGCGCGGACCACGCTTGCGTGGATACGTGGCTGGCAGGCTGACCCGGTGCGGGGGTAACCCGCGCACGGGGAAGCTTCACGGGTTCGAGTCGTCAAACATTAAGCAGCGGAGGTGTGCCGAGGGGGACCGGGAGGCGGCAAGTCGTCGTCGCCCGGCGCTGCTTGCAGCACCGTGGCGATGGCGCGCTAAGAGGCCCCCCCCCCCCCCCCCCCGCCAAGGCGCGCGATACACTTCAACCTTCTCTAGCCTCACGCGTAGCGCTGGTCGGATTCGCTCGCCGCGGGGACACGACCCAATCTATGATAGCCGTGGCCGTGTCCCCGACTTTCTTACTCTAGCGGCGAGGCCGCGCCGCGCGGGAGCCGGATAAGTGTCCCGTGTCCCTCTGGGGAGCGAGGTGGGTCGCGTCCTCCGATTTCCTCAACACATCTCCCCGTAGACTGCCAGTAGGACTTTTCCTCCTGAGCCGTACTCTACCTGAGCCCTGGTCTGACAGCCTGACAGCAAACCCCGGACAGCGCCTGACAGTGCCCGACAGCCTGACAGCGCTGACAGCACTTTCTCTGACAGTCTGACAGCACGTATCTGACAGCCTGACAGCAGAGCCTGACAGGCGAGGCGCTCCGTCGCTGTCAGGCCCTAACGTGACAGCCTGACAGCTGCCTGACAGCCCGACAGCACACAGTGGCCTGACAGCAGCGCTGACAGCCCGACAGCAGCACAGACCGTACACAGTCAGACCCCCCCCCCCCCCGTAGAGCCTCTTTCTTGTGCCCCATGAGGATATAACAAAACTATTACATGCAAAGACATGTACATGTGAGTGTGGTCCATGTCCATGTCCATGTCCATGTCCATGTCCATGTAGTCATGGGATGGTCATGGGTCTCTCTCTCAACCCTCCCGCCCCACCTCTGCGGACCCCTCTCTAGACTCTAGCAGTAGCACCGGCGGCTGTGCTACTACAAATGAAGCTACCAGCTAGCCTTCTGGGGCCCTACAGTCATATGCCTACGGCGTCTGGGTGGGGTGGCCGCCGCCGTCTGTGCCACCGCCGCGGCCTGCGCCTGCGCCGCCATCTGCGCTCCCCAGGCGGCCGCCCCTGCCGGCGTGATCACGCCGTAGGAGGGGGGCAGCTGCGTACCCGCTGGCTCCTCTTGATAGTGTCATAAGTGTGGCTGGTGTGTGTCAGAGCCTGACAGCACCCCGACAGCTAGCCCGACAGCACCACCTGACAGCACCTGACAGTAACAGCCCAACGTCTGACAGCAGCAGCAGCCTGACAGCTCTGACAGCTCCGACAGCGTCTGACAGCAACACCCGACAGCTCCGACAGCACCCGACAGCTACAGAGCCCCTCGCCTGTCAGACACGCACCCGACAGCACCCGACAGCACTGACAGCACCTGACAGCTGGTCTGACAGAGGCACCTGACAGTGCCTGACAGCTGCCCGACAGCCCGACAGATCACCTGACAGCACCTGACAATGGACTGCACAGGGCCGCCGCGTCTCGCTCACACACCCGACTCTCGCTCTTGTTCCATGTGCACACAACGCGTCGCTGTCCTCTCCGGGCGCGTAGTCTCAGCAGTCCCACCCGGCCCCGCCCCGCCGCCCCGCCCGGGTGTGAGCCCCGACGGCCGACGGTGCTCGGTGGCGGGCGGCGCAAGCGCCGCGAGCTGCATCTCAGAGTTTTAGGTCTTCAAGAGAACCAGACCAAAGATGAATCAACTCCCCAGGGCCGCCGCTTCTCGCTCACACACACCGACTCTCGCTTTTGTCGCTCACACACACGACTCTCGCTTTTGTTCCATGCACAACGAATCGCCGTCCTCTCCGGGCGCGTAGTCTGAGCCGTCCCACAGGGGAGTGTAAGCCGCTGCCGCGCCCGCGGCGACGACCCACGCCCGCGCTGGTCGCAGGCGGCGCAAGCGCTGCGCTCTTCAGCATGCGTTCGCCTCTTCCCACTCCCGGATCTGCCGGCGCAGCGTGTGGTTGGGGGCGAGGAAGGTGTGCACGAGCGCCTCGCCCGTCATCGGGCTCGTCGACTTGGTCGCGAGCCAGCGCTCGATCGCCGACCGCTCGTAAGAATGCCCGTCCGCCGCCATCACCGGGTCACTCATGAGCTCGGTCGTGATCGGGCAGATGAAGTCGGCCGGCGGCTCCTCCCTCGGAGCCGGCGCCTCTGCGGCTGAGGACGACCCTTGCGCCTCCGCCGCCCGCCTCTCCTCCTCCAGCCTCGCGCTCTCCTCGAGCGCCGCCGCAAGCTCCGCCTCCTCCGCCGCCGCCACCCCCTCCTCCGCCGCCTCCTCTGCCGGCGCTTCGGCCTCTTGCGACGGCCCAGCGCCGCCCCCGCCGCCCTTCTTCTTCTTCTTGCCCCTCTTCTTGGCCTTCTTCTTCTCCTTGGCGCGCTTCTCCGCCTCCGCCTCCGCTGCCGCCGCCTCCTCCTCCGCTGCTTCCCTCCTTCTCGCTTCCTCCCTCTCCCTCGCGTCCTCTCTTGCCCGCGCCGCCGCCGACTCCGCCGCGCGCGCTGCTTCAGCCTCCGCTGCCTGCACCGCCCGCGCTGATGCAGCCTCCTCAGCTGCCCGCGCCGCCGCGGCCTCCGCTGCCTGCACCGCCGCTCGCGCCTCCTGAGCCTGCTCCTCCGCCCGCGCTGCCGCCGCTGCCTGCCTCGCCGCCGCCTTCTCCTCCTTCTGCCGCTGCCGCTTCAGCGCCTTGGCCTCGCGGGTCCTGCGATCCGCCAGCTCATCGCGCAGCCGCCTCGCCGCCTGGAGCGCCTCCGATCCGTCGGCGGAGTCGGCATTCGCGTTGATCGCCGCCCTGAGCGCCTCAAGATCGGCGTCGCCTCGGCCGCACGCCTCAACCGCCTCGCGCAGCGCCGCATCGGCAGCGCCGCGAGCCTCAGCCGCCTCTGTTGCCACGTTGCGCGCGGCGGCCGCCGCCGACTCAGTTGCCGCCGCCTCGGCAGCAGCCTTTGCCGCACCTGCAACTGTGGCGATGTGCTGCCGGAAGGCCTCAACGCACTCGGTGTGGCCCTGCTCCTTGGCCATCTTCAGCGCCGTATTGCCGCTCGCACTGCGCGCCGCGGTGTCTGCACCCGCCCGCAGCAAGCGGAGCACGACGGCGGGGTGGTTGAAGAGGGCGGCGGCCATCAGCGCGGTGCGGCCGTCGCTGCT